CGATGAATCGCTTGGAAAACTTTTAAATTGATGTCATTACCACCAACTTCCGGTGTTACCAGCATGATAAAAACTGGTGCATTGGATTCTTCATATACTATTTTATTATCATATTTTTTATTGCAACTTCTTAGGTAATCACGTTTTTGAGAAAAATCCTTGGTACGGGTGGTCTGAATCACCCGGTATATGAAGTTATCCAAGTGTTTATATATATTTATCGTATCATATGTATATTTGTGCACAATAAACGTCATTATTATTATTATTATTATTATTATTATTCTGCGACTGTATCAGAACTAGTCTGGCATGATTTGGTCATTTTTAATTCGATTGAATTGTATTATAATAATTATGTACGTACAAACATGTGAGAACTCAACAAGTTAAATATAAAAATTATGTTTTGTCTTTGAACGATATGTACACTTCATAAAACGAATTATTTTGCGAAAGAAGATGAATTTCATTTTATTTGTTTTCTTTTGAATTAATTAAAATTAAATTAGCTTAAAACTAGTCTTGCAAATTATCAAGGCGATTTATATTTAATTAAAATTCAAAGGTAGTTTTAAATATGATAAAATGTTAAGGTCAAACAATTTGCTATTAATAACTCTGATCAGTTATTATGATATCAAAAATACTTGAAATTTAATCTTTCCTCAGTTGTGTTTTAACAAATATATCCGAAATGTTGTTGATACTTGTTATGGGTTTAATATTTTTTATTACTCTTTATTACTTTTATCAAACAAATAAGTACAAGATAATTGATGATTATCCTGGACCAACTCCATTAGAGTTATTAAAATTTGTATTATTACCGAAATCGACTGTTGGTAAGTTCTTAATTTTGTGATTTAATTTTATTTTGAAATATATTCTTTTTAGACTCTTATAAATTCTTCGTTTCTTTAAACAACAAATATGGACCAGTTGTTAAAATATGGATCAAACCTTTTAAACCAACACTCCTCGTTTCCGATGAAAAATTTATTAAACATATTTTATTATCGAAAGAACATGTTAATAAAGCGAGTTTATTTGAATTATTGGAAGCATTTATAGGAAACGGATTACCCATTATGAGCGATAGTAATTACGTTTTACACTGAGTTATCTAAAATTCTAAATAACCTCTTAACATCTCTTATTGTTATTTAGATATTGAAGTCAAAAAATTTTTTTTAGTAAATTTATGGAGACAAGAACGAAAAACGATTTCACACGTATTTAATAATCAATTCAACATCGATTATATATCAACAATTAAAACACACGCCATTAAACTGCGCGATGCGATTAATGAAAATTTAAATCAACCCGTTGATTTGCAAATGTTGTTATTAAGACATGGATTAAACATTGTTTATGGTAAAAAATACAATAAGTATTTATGCATCAAAAAAATTTTTTTTTTAGAAATATTACTTAATGAAGATATTAGTAACCAAGATGATCGTGTAAATCGTTATAGCACAGCTTTGAAAACATTTTTCGAAGTTTATTTTGATAGAATCAATTCCCCATTGAAAATGAACGATAACATATTTAAATTAACCAATAATTATAAAATTTGGAACAAATGTTCTGAGGAAGCTACGGAATTTATTGAAAGTACTTTAAAAACAGTTGTCGAATTAAAAAAGAAATCGCCGAATGAAAGTTTTCGAAAAGATTTTATTGATTTACTTTTAGAATCTGGTTTGAGTTATGATAGAATTTTAGCGCATCTTCGAACATTTGTTGTTGCTGTAATTATTTACTCTTGTTACATTATATTAGTTTTTAATTATGTTTTGAAGGGTTCCGATACAGTTTCAGCTGCAACTGGTTTTGCTCTTTATGAACTTGCTAAACAACCTGAATTACAAGAAAAAATTTTTCAGGAATATATTTCGATTGTAGGATTCGACGAAAAGGTTTTCGCAGAATTTAGGGATATTCAACAAATGAGTTTTGCTGATTGCGTTATGAAAGAAAGTTTAAGACTTTATCCTCCAGTTCCATTTATATTTAGAACTTTAATTAAACCGGCAGAAATCGGTAAATTAATTCTATAGCAGATCAGCTTTTTAATAAAAAAATTTTTAGATGATAAAGTTCTTCCGGGTGACATCGATGTAACCTTTTCAATAATCGGGTCTCATTATTTAAATTTTGAAGACCCCACAAAGTTTAAACCCGAAAGATTTCTTCCAGAAAATTCCACCAAAATCCCAGCAAATGCTTATTTACCATTTTCGTTGGGACCAAGAGATTGCATAGGTATTCACATATTCACTAAATATTTATTTATAATTTTTCGTTAACATTTTTAGGTAAAATAGTTGCAGTTGCCGAAGTTAAATTTTTAATTAGCTATATTGTGAGGCATTTTACATTACATCCAATCAATGATCATAAAGCAGATATAGCTGGTGAAGTGGTTTTAACAAGCAAAAATGGATTACCAGTTATTTTTAAAAAAAGAATAATTGAATAATCGGAATTTTAAATGTTCACTTCAATTTATGACATGCTGTTATAAAAAATTTATTAATAAAACAATAAAAATCTTTATAATATTCTTATCTAACCAATAAAATTGGATGTTTCAAGGAATATTTGAAGGCATCATGTTTCTAAATAACTGGGATCAAAAACTGATTAAAGTAAATCACCTAAGTCATTTTTCCTCTGAATAAGTCAAATTCCTGACAACCTTCACAATCAAACGAAAATGCAAACTGCTTGTAGTATATCAAAGATTTTCCAACATCTTAAACTCTGCAATCGCTAGACGATGCCCATAGTAAGTTCATAACAGTATACCTATATGTTTATTCCAATTAATTCATCGACACCTTTAGTGTACTGGTTGATTTTCTCGAAAACCGTTCATTCATAACCAAAAGGTACAAATTTCTCCCCAAACTTAGAAATGAACTACATTCAATAGCTTACGCTAAGTTATACCAGTTTAAAGCTTTACCATTCATTGTAAAAGACACTAGTAAGGAAATCTTTTTATTAAAAAGATACATCATATATTGAGGAAACTCGAATTGCGACTTGGAATATAAGGACTCTGCGCAGCCTGGGTGCACTACGGAACCTAGTAAGACAAACTGACAAGGATGCACTTTACGTCATCGTCCTCCAAGAGACGAGATGTACGGAATCTGGAACGATGGAGAAGCGCAATCATATAAACATTTATAAGTGTAGCCCATCGGAACACACACTGGGCACAGGCTTCTTGTTTATAGAGAATACAATAAAAATCCTCATAGGAGACTTTAGAGCATACAATCCTGGATTATGTAAGCTGATGCTCAATTGTTTAATTACAGTTTCATGTGCACATATGTTCTTAAATATGAAAGGGAACTTCAATTTATCCACTCGAAAATATAATATTAAGATTATCCTGATAGATCATCCAGATGATCACAGACTTAACATGCCAGATCACTTCATTGTTGATGTAAAACTTCAACCTCATATAATAGAGGTCAAAAGTAGACGAGGTATTAACGACGATTTCGACCACTCGGAGCAAAAATAGCGAATGAGAAAAGTACAACAGGGCAAAAACACGAGAAATTCAACCTACAAGAACCTCAAAGATCACAATAGAAATAGAGTGGAATCAATCAAAACTATGAAGTTAGACCACAGGATATCCTGATAATTAAATTTCGATATGGAATCTCCCTTTATTAGAGTACCAGTCAAATATGCCATGGATGATTTTCGACAGACGCTCATCCTGAAAGGCTTACCAAAGTATGTTCCTGGGCGAGTGTAGTACTGTTTGGTATTCACATATTTTAGGTGGAAGGGAGAGTTCTACGAGCAATGCGAAGGGGTGTCTTCTACATCTACGAAGGAGATCTTCCAGGAAGAAGCATTAAGGAAGAGTCCGCGTGTCGATCTTGGAAAATAGTGTCTCCAGGAAGTCTTAGACCACCTAACCTTGCAACACCCGATGATCAAATTTATCATGGACACCGAATCTGCTAAACAGTTATCTTTCCTGGAAGATTTGGTCACAATGAAGACAGATGGAGGCATGGAACTGGGAGTATATCGTAAGAAGACAGACGAATAGGTATTTACAAGCTACGTCCCATCATATTCCATAACAAAAGAGGTCAGTGATCGAACATCTAGTGCCGCATCAAGGAGCATATCTGACTAAATAAGATCGAGCAATCCGCAGACGCAGAGAATTGCTATAAAAAGGGATACTACATAGATTTCATAGACTACATAGACAAAGAAGACGGCTAGAAAATCAGCCGCACATGGAAAATGCTAGTTAANTTATGACAAATCAGCCGCACATGGAAAATGCTAGTTAACCCATTCTATTGGTGAATTTTAGAAATTCCCCCAAATCCCTCTTCGCCTAAGTTCCTAGTTTGCCAAAAAACGTTTTCAAATGAGGCGATGAAGCCTTCTAGATTACAAGATCATTTGAACAAAATGCATTTTGATAAAAAAGATTACAATGTGGCCTTTTTTCAAGAACTGAAAAACAAGTAAATGAAACACAACCAGAAGGAAGGATACCTTTACACGTTAAGGACAGTAATAACAGAAAGGAAAAATTAGCAGCGCCGGGACCCGAACACAGGTCTAATTTTCCAGCAAATTTTTCCTTTCTGTTATTCCTATCCTTAACGTGTAAAGGTATTCTTCCTTCTGGTTGTGTTTCATTTATATGTTACATACACGTTTATATTAATTCCAATTATTATGAAAAACAAGTACGCAAATCACCAACTATCTCAAAACATTTTTCAGCGGCTTTTAATCAAGACAATGACGCACTTAGAGTTTCGTACAAAATCTCTTTGTTAATTGCTCAAACAGGAAAAGCACACACAATTGGGAAGGAGTTAACTACAGTGCTTCATAAACCAGCGGCAGATATTATTAAAAAAATTCCTTTAAGTAACAGTTTCGTACAAAGACCAGTTGATGAGATTGTTGAAAAAATCGAAGAGTCCTTGTGCAACCATCTGAAGACTAGTTAATTTTCAATTCAGTTTGATATGTCCATTTTACCGATCAATTGTTGTTGTCATCCGTGAGGTTTATTAAACACGAGAAAACATGTCAAGAACTATTCTTTGCTAGAAATGTAGAGACAGATACAAAAGGAGAAACAATATTTAGTACACTAGAAAAGTTTTGTGGTGAGAAGGAAATTCCCTTAAGTAGGAATATTATATCAGCTGCTACGGATGGCGCTCCGGCTATGAGAGGGCGTCATAAATGGTTCATAGCATACTTAAAAAATATCGTTTTTTCATCATTGCGTTACCTATCGGCAACATTTGGTTGTGAGGAATTTGAGTGAATGGCTGTCTCAATCACCGTAACATGTCATCAAAGCAGTCAATAAAATCTGAAACAGCTCTTTAAATGACAGATTATTTAATCAGCTTGGTGTTGGTAATGACGAAGATTTCCAAGTTGGAGATTGATATCATTAAACAATTTACACAAGTCTGCCAAGTAAAATATCATTCTTTGATGTGATGAGGTTGTCGTGCCATTCTGTGTCTTTGTTTTCCAAAAACACTATCACAGAGTTAAAGAGATTGTAAAAATGAGTCAAACAAGTACCTCTTGATAGCCAACGCAGTTCTGTGTGAAACAACAATCGGTTAAAATGACGAACAATGACGAATATTTTAACCGATTGTTGTTTCACACAGAACTGCGTTGGCTATCAAGAGGTACTTGTTTGACTCATTTTTAGAATCTGTTTAACTCTGTGATAGTGTTTTTGGAAAACAAAGACACAGAATGGCACGACAACCTCATCACATCAAAGAATGATATTTTACTTGGCAGACTTGTGTAAATTGTTTAATGATATCAATCTCCAACTTCGAAGTGATGACTTAAACTTGATTAATACAAAAAATGTCGTTGCCGCTTTCGTAGCCAAACTGCTTTTACATAAGAAAAATATTGGCAGGCGTGAGTTTCACAATTTCCCCAATTTATCAGTGGCATCTTTTAACAACGACGATTAGCTTGTTAACTGCCAACATTTGGAAAACCTTCACAGTGATATCCAAGAACGATTCCAGGACATTTTAAAATTGGAAATACCAGACTGGGTGTTGGGTTCTTTTTCAAATGTTAACACAGCAGGATCATCCCAGGTGGAAGAAGAATTAATAGAGCTGATAACAAATGAGGAAATAAAAATCATATTTAAAAACGGTTACCAACAATTTTGGTTACAAAAGCCAATACCGCAATTGTAACAACCCAGGGTTGTGGTCGATTGTATAACGATTAATGCTGTGGCAACTCTGCTACAACGNTACCAACAATTTTGGTTACAAAAGCCAATACCGCAATTGTAACAACCCAGGGTTGTGGTCGATTGTATAACGATTAATGCTGTGGCAACTCTGCTACAACGGTTGTACTTACGGTTATTTTTGACTAAATTCGAGCCTGATATCAATAAACTTGTTAAAAAGCATCAGATAGAACAGTTCGTTACTAGAATATAATATACTACAGGCGCTAGAAACTATTTGATTCTCAAAGTGGGCAATAGAAGAAATTAGTTTGAGAACCTAGTAATATATTCCGCAAATAATTCTGTTAAATAAAACCATACATTATATAGTGAGGTAATATTTGAATTTGGAAGTATTGTAGGGTTGGAAATATTTAGTGCCATTTATTAAAAGTTTTTCTAAACGATAATTGGTAAAAAATCCCCATTGATATTTTTTTTCTTAGATTCCAAATTAACAAAGATAGATTTGTAGTCAACATTTGGATCGTTGTTTGGAGGGGCCATGATTTGAACGTGTTTACCAATATCTCTAAAAGAAGTTCCAATACATCCAATTTTTGTTGACAATATTGTGACATTTACTTTCAGTTTTACAGTTTTGTACTTTTTATACGATCGCGAATGACCAAGGCGATAACTAAGTGCTATCGTTTGAAATGATTTACCGGTGACCAGAAATCTCACCAATCATGGTCAGTGTTGTATCTGGTATCAACAGAAGTATCACATTCGGTAATTGATACACTAATTATCCTAGAATGTTAAAGTGGAAATTTTATGCAAGTACAAGATGAACAGAAAATACACAAATGTGCTTCTAACCTTCAAGTCACATATTGACGATATTTTATTTTATGACTGCATAAAATTTATTTTTAATCAAACATTTTGAAATTGATACATTTTCGCTTAAAATTTAATTAAAAAGGTCAAACTTTAGCATCTATTGATAACTCTCAATAAATTCTTTTTCTAAATAGAAATAATATCGCCAAAAAGCGATAGACATAATCAGTTCATTTCTAATCTTTGCTCAATTGAATCATAGAAATTTTAGCGAAAATGTTTGTGATACCCTTTACACTTTTACTTTTTATTACAATACTGTATTATTTTTACCAAGTAAATAAATACAAAGTACTTGATGATTATCCTGGGCCAACACCCTTAGAATTAATCAAATTTATGTTATTACCAAAATCAACAACTGGTAAGTTATCGATTTTATATTTTAATTGTTTTATTGGTGTTAAATATGGTATATTTTTTTTAGATACTTATGAATTCTTCGTTTCTTTAAGCAAGAAATATGGTCCAGTTGTTAAAATTTGGATAAAACCTTTTAGACCATCTCTTCTCGTTTCCGATGGAAAATTTGTTAAGAACATTTTATTATCGAAAGAACACGTTAACAAAACGGGATATTTTGGTTTATTACGAACGTTTGTAGGAGATGGATTACCCCTTATGAGCGATAGTAATTAATACCAATCACTAAATAACTTTAAGTTTTAAGAATAGAACAAATCTAAAAATATTTATTTTTAGTAAGTTTATGGAGACAAGAACGAAAAACGTTTTCACACGTTTTCAACAACCAATTCATCATCGATTATATATCAACGTTCAAAACACACGCTATTAAATTGAGCGAAGCGATAAACGAAAATTTAAATAAACCAGTTGATTTGCAAGTACTAATATTACGTCATGGATTAAATATTGTTTACGGTAAATAAATAGTATTTAAGTATTAAAGTTCATAACACGTACATTTTTTTAAAAATTCATTAAAGATTTAACTTTAATTAATGTACCATTAAGTTGATCTCTTAATCTTAAAAGATAATCGAGAAAAAAATTGATTCAACTTTGGACCTGCGATCTACATGAATTAAGAACAGAAAGAAAGAAGGTCAATATCAGATAGATAAATAGTTTTATAATTAAAGTATGCAAATTTCTGTTGCACAATCTTCTTTCATGGCATTGATTAAATATACAAAGAAAATAACATTATCGTTGAAATTTATGCAAAAAATATAATCTTTAATTTGAATTCACAAAATAATTTAAACAAAACAATATTAATATAATTGGATCAAAATTTCTAAATTCACTTTAAATCAAAGGTTGATTTTGCAATCATCAATTCAAAACTCAATTTTCAGTTTAAGAATCGATATCTTGGTAACCGTTCAGAACAATTATTAGAATAATGTTTATAACAAATTTATTTATCAATTTGTGCATAATTAAACAAAACGTGTATGGAAAGTATTGTGGGGCAATGAAACGAGAAACAAACTAAACAATACAATTAAAGTCAGTAACTGAAGAAAATACGCAGATACGGAAAACTCATTTAAAGCAGAAATAGAAACCACACAAAATAAAAAAGACAATGAGTCCAGAAGAATGGAAAAACACCTCATCTTTATAAAAAGAGAAAAAAAACATATCCAGCAAACTACCGTAGGATAACATTACTAAGCTCCTCCGTAAAACTTTCAACTAAGTTCATTGCGGGCAAGAAGGCCTCAATAATACAAATGGCTAACAAACAACAGGGTTTGCGAAGAAAGCAATCTACCATCGATGCACTGTTCATAGTTGGACAACTGGTAGAAAAATCTATAGAGTATAGCACCCTTGCTGACTTCTTTGTGGATCTAACCAGTAATTGATAGAGTGCAACTAAAAGATGTTATCACGATCCTGGAAAACAGCAATATGTCAAAAGAATACATAGAATTTATGTATGCAAATAAACTTCACCCTAAACAACATCTCCGAACTGCTAAAGGCATTCTTCAAGGTGACAGTGAATTGATAAAGGTTGTAAAAATACAGGATTATACACTATGTTATGCAGACGACGCAGTACTTATTGCGGAATGAGAAGGTGACCTCCAAAGAATGTTACAATCTTTTAGTAAACCAGCATGGAAATTCGGCATGTTAATTATGAAAATTCCTATAGATAACATCAAATGCATAACTATTGTAAAGGAAACGCAAACTGGTAATAGAAAATAACATCATCGAACGAACCAGGTCATTTGAATTGTTTGCAAAATCACAAGATTGTTTCAGGAAGATGAAGTGACAAAAACAAGTCCAAGCTTTGGAAAAACAAACACTTAAGTATATGTAGATTGTAAGTCGAGAATATATAAAACACGTGTGCGACCAGTGATGACATATGGTGCGGAAACAAAAGTTGAAACATCAGTAACAAAGAGAATTCTAAGAACAGTCAAGATGAAGACCCTAAGAGTAATAACGGGATACACATTAATCGATAGGTAAAGAAATACACCCATAAGAAGAAAGTGCAAAACAGATGACGTGGTAAGATGGATAAGGAGAAAAAGAGCGAATGGAACCAGCACGTCAACTGGATGAATTCCGACAGCCAATGACAATTGGCAGTCAACATCACAAGAAGTGCTAAACTAAACAGGGGATACGCCTCCTGAAAGAAGGAAAAGAGGACGAAGGCAAAATATACTGCAACGCGAATTCTTAGCGATACGTTGCAATGATTTGTAACTTCCTCATACAACATGACAATTTTTCATTGAATGAAAAGATACTTTTTTAGCAACTCTTTTAAGACTTTTACAATACATTACATTACACAAATTACATATCAGGTAGGCGAACTGACCAACCTTGCACCGCGACAGATCAGAGAAACTCTGTTATCACAACTCAGTATGTTTAATGTTCTTTTAGTCATTCTCCAGAGCCGACACCGTTTTCACAGCCTGCAGAGCCTGGGGAGAAAAAATTGTACTGTCATGTTCTTCACCCCTCTCTCAAGAAGGATTTTAGCACCCATGTCAATAGCAAATACTTTTGCCTGGAATACAGTACAGTACGTACCAAGGCTGTAAGCTTGCTTAATCCGAGGTGTCTGGCAGTATACTCTTACCCCGACTCCTTCCGGCATTTTTGATCCATCTGTGCACATGCAAATATCTGCCTGACCCAGAGAATTTTTGTTTTTATGCCTGAACGGCAGTCCAATCTGGTATCGTGCATTAATCATTGATAGTGATCCCGCCAGATCTGACGGCATTGATAGCACAGTATCAATGCTTACGATGTCATCCACAGCTCATTGGTAGGACATGTCGGAACAGATTTGAGCATATTGCTTAAATCTGTAAATGGTAGTTTTAGCCACTTTTTTTATATGAAAATGCAAAGGAGATAGGCCAAGCAGAACATCCATTGCTGGAGTTGGCGTTGTGCTTATCGCACCAGAGGTTCCAATCCAGCTACTCGTTGAATTCGTGAAAGTTTAGTGATAACTGAAGTCTGTCAAAATTTCCTATACCAGGCTGCTGCTTCGTATGTCATAGGTCCAACCACAGTCATATAGAGCAGTCTTATTTAACTCTATGACAGGCCAACAAGCTCACATCCAACGATTTTTGGTACTTGACCACGATACTTGCATAAAATTTCAGGCGAATTCAAGCGTGTAAACATACCGGTCTCATTTCTTAAAATCCGATTTTATACGTCACATAACAAGAATTGCATGTTGTTCGAATGAATATGTAAAGTATGAAAGATCGTTGATTCCTGAGATTGTTACCCTCTTTAGGTTGAAAATTGAATCTGGTTCCAAGAATTCTGCCAAATCGTCGTTTTTTGTACATAATATTTCTCTGCCAGCACTTTATATAGAAGAAACCCAGTGGTTGACATACTCTATCAGCATGTTGTTCTATGGCTGCTCCAACTGCGAAATTGGAGTCGTTACGCGAGGTGAAACATTAGTGCTGCGTACGCCTGCAGAGTAGGTTAAGCTAATTTTCGTACAGTTGCTTAAGATTTATTCTGATATTCTTATGTTAACTTCGGATATGAATATTTTCCGATGGGTTGAATTTTTCGAGTAAAGGACTTGGTTGTATGCTCGCACTAAGCCGATGGAAAGGAAAATTTTCTTTGTATGCACCATTCTTATGTTTAATACGCGAGAATCCCTACATAATGAAGAATCCTCGCCTATTTTGGCTTGCATGTGCAGGCATGATGGTAAACTACTCTAGGACAGACAAATTATCATCATTCGTAAAGTGGCCTCTAACTGCGAACCTCTAATCTTTGGTGGTTCGGGTCGAAATCTAGTTGAAACTAGTCTATCCTCTATCTTATGACCAGGATTGAAACATTTTTAATAACATTTTCATCATTAATATAAGTATTTTAGTATCGATTTCAGAATAAAGCCAATTTTTGTAATTTTAAATTATTTTTTTCATTATTTTCTTATAAATATTTTTTTATAATTATTTTTTTCTAGATTTATTACTTAATGAAGATATTAGTAAACAAGATGATCGTGTAAACCGTTACATGAAATCTTTGAGAACATTTTTTGGGGTGTATTATGATAGAATTAACTCTCCTCTGAAAATGATTGATAGCATATTTAAATTAACCGAAAATTATAAAATTTGGACTAATACTTCTATTGAATCCAAGAAATTCATTGAAAGTACATTAAAACAAGTTATTGAATTAAAAAAGAACAATACATCGGGAAAAAGTGATCGAAAGGATTTTGTTGATTTACTTTTAGAATCTAATTTGAGCTATGATAGGATTTTAGAAAACATTCGGACTTTAGCCGTTGCTGTAATATTTTGCTGTTGGTTTATTATTTTTGTTTTTTAAAACGTTTTTGTTGTAGGGTTCCGATACCGTTTCAGCTTCATCTGGTTTTGCTCTTTATGAACTTGCTAAAAAACCTGAATTGCAAGAAAAAATTTATCAGGAATACATTTCCATTTTAGGAACCGATAAGAATGTGTGTGCAGAGTTTAGGGATATCCAACAAATGACTTTTACTGAATGCGTTATAAAAGAAAGTTTAAGACTTTATCCTCCAGTTCCCTTTATTTTTAGGGCTTTACTTAATTCAACAGAAATTGGTAAATTAATTGAAAAGTAACGATTTCTTTTATTAATTATTTTTATAGGTGGTAAAATTGTTCCTGGTGATATCGATATTATATTTTCAATAATCGATTCCCACTATTCAAATTTTGATGATCCCGCGGAGTTTAAACCGGAAAGATTTCTTCCAGAAAATGCCTCCAATATCCCAGCAAATGCTTATTTTCCTTTTTCATTAGGACCGCGAGATTGTATAGGTAAGAATATTAGAAATAATAAAATTCACTTAATATCTTATTTTTTTATTAATTTTTTAGGTAAAATAGTTGCAATTGTCGAATCGAAATTTTTACTTAGCTACATCATCAGAAATTATACAGTGCATCCAATTGATGATCATCAAATTGATTTATGTGGTGAAATTGTTTTAACTAGCAAAACTGGTCTACCAGTTATTTTTAAAAAGAGGATTAACTAAATATTTGATTTATTTATAAAACTTTTTGAAGCAAAAGTGGTTGGGTTGTGTTTGTCATCGTACCTACGCTTTCAATATAAACTTTTAAAGATAGTGTAACAATTCTTAATTATTGTAAAAATAAAATTTTATTTGACATTTACAGCGAATTTTCAGTGTTATTAGTAGATATTAATGACTTTAATAGAATTATTCGACAACTTAAATAAGTTTCTATACCTGTTTGAAATGTATCTAAACATAATTAAATTAATCTTACTTAAAACGTGGCGATAAATCTATAAAATCATATTGACGACGTATCATAAATCTCCAACAGTCATCTATCTGAGCCTGGAGAAAAAGAGCATAAAAGATTGATTCAATTATTATACCATTTATAAAATATAAAGAAACTTGATTTTTTATTTTCATAAAGAACTTTTACTTCCAGATGCGGCAATTATTCTTTTTTTATTTGAAAAGTTAAATGTTTCAAACAGTTGTGGTAACATAGTAATGTAGAACCAAACAGAAATACATAGAACGTAACTGAGAAAGAAATGTAATCAGAAAAGCTGATTTTGAACTAGATGTAACTTATTCTCGAATTCATGTTCGTTTATAATGTTTTCAGGTTCACGTCAGGTTTCACACACAAAGAAGTATCTCATAACATTTCCTTGTCTTAAATTCTTTCCATATTCCTTCCTTCTTTCGACTTCTTGAAAATTTGATGTAAGTGACCAGTGATTTATTCTGTCATCCTTTGAACGGTTTTTATGAATGTTTCTTGCGTTCCTCAGCAGCTTTTCCACACATGTGTCCAATTGGTTGTTAGGTATTTCGAAGTACTGTTAGATCAGGTGTGTTTCATTCATTAATTTGGGTCTTACTTCGGTATGTAATAAAGTTTTCTTTACAAAATTTTAAATGATCTGGATTGTAATGGTCTTGATTTTACATGGTTCATTTTTATAACCATAAAATACTTCTTAAACATATTGATATTTTTGTGCATCCTCTGTATTGATGTTATTTACATTGTGTACAAATGCTAGTAAAACCGAAAGACCTGCAACATCTAGTGACTCATCCAAATTCGTAGCACTCTGGCATATTTCTAGATTAGCAGGAAGATGAGGAATTCGAAACCATGGTTTAGTAATTTTCATCAATTGATGGATTTCCAGGGAGTTAATTAGTATCTTAAAGAAATCTGGTACTTTTACTTTGTAATCAAGGTGGTTCGTTGGCTAGAATTTTATTGTACACCTGGGACATTTATATTGTTAATGCATATTTTCGGTTATTTACTACATACTTAGAAGTACTTGCTACATCGTGTTTCAAATTGTAATCCATAGGTTTAAAATGCACGCAATAGAAATCCCAGCATAGAAAGTGCAATAGGGGTTATAGGCTATTAGTTTTGTTCACATTTTTTTCGAAAAACTGTCAAATATCAGTGTTCCGCGAAACATAGATTAGGAAATGTTGTTTTAGATGATGAAAGTTTAGGTGATACTCGTTCCGAAGTTCTTACAGATTTAAAACATTGTCTAAGTTGCTGCCTTTTTAACATGGTAATGAAAAATGTTCAAATGACTATTGCAATGAACAAAAACAAAAAACGATTTCGATGATAATATCAGAAATAATATCAGTAGTAAAAGTCCAGCTACTATGACTACTACAACACTTTATTGCGTATCAACATACTTACATGATACAAGCACACCCTTGGGGTCTTCTTTAAGAATGCAACAAAACTGCAATGCACAATCCGCCGTGATCGGGGGACGGATAGCATCGAGGTCAAGCGTGTCTGGATCTTATATTTTGAGGAAACAGAAGAAGGCCACTTGGGTTCAGAGATGTCGCGGACTTGTGAAACACTTCTCACCTGTAGAGCTGAAAGACGTCCTCTTCACTGACAAGAAGTTATTCACGATTGAGCAAACATTCAAGGTTCAGAAAGCGAATTAGCGTAGTCGCTATATGTGGTTCAGGTCATAGTTTGAGCCGGAGGAACTTCAACCGGGAAGATATCGCTAATTTTTATGGATCAGTAGGTCAAGATCAACTGCCAAAACCACTTTAATGAAATTCTGACGAACAAATGCTTTCTGGAGCCAGTCCCACTTCAACAGACGCCCGTGGATATTCCAACAGAACTCAGCGGCCGCGCACAAAACTAAGGTGGTTCAGTAGTGGTCTAGATCAATTTTCCAGTCATGATCACCTCCACGAAATGACCTGATTTGAACCCCCTAGACTTCTCCAAGTAGTCGGCCCTTGAAAGCAAGGCCTGTGGCACTCCCCACAGTTTTGGGCAGATACAACATTAATTGCAACACCTCGTCCAAAAGTATCTTCGGTTTATATTTTTACGACAACTATGAACATACGCCAAGCTCGCTTGCGGATATCTTAACCACAAGCGGTCTTGGGTTGTATTTTTGTTGCCACTATGATGCTACAAGTGTGGTGCTTGAAGTAGTGGTGACTGTTAAAAACAAAGAATGACCGAGGTAACGCCTAGGCCGCAAGCGACCTCGGCTTAGACATTTCATAACAATCAAGAATACAACCCGAGGTTGCTTGCGGACGAACCACAACAATGGTAACTCATAATGCCAAAGCAGTATTGATTTAGCGTCTCGGTCACTAAGAATATATTCTTGCTTATATTCTTGTTGTTACCGAGTGGGTACAATAAAGATAGTTAAAAATTGAGAGCTATCAAGGTAACTCATTTAGTTAATCTATTAGAGTACAATAGGAATATTGATAAATCATCCTTCTTGTGCAGTTTGTCGTGTTATGAATTTAAATAACTCACCTGCAGGAAATATTACGAAATGATGTTATCTTTTACGTAGCTTTCCGTGACTAATTTTCCCAGGTCCATTTAAGCATCTGAATTACTTACAAGGAGGAAAATAGGAATGAATAAACTGTAAGGTGGATGAGTGAGCTTGGATTTAAAGTGTGACGATAACCAATATTTTATAATAATTTCAATATATGAGCAACAAAGATGTGCTTTGTGATGCAAAAGACAAAAAGAATTTGTATCAAGTATCAGTGCAATGAAAATATGATGAACACCACAAACACTTATAAGCTCCGATTGAAACAATATAATTCGTACAACGAAATATGTTTACAACCATGAATTTATAAAATATAACAAAGTATTTTTGTTTATTCATCTTTCATTGATTAAAACTGCAAATCTTATTGTACTTATTAATTAACACATTTTTCATGATTAATATTTTTTAATCTCGGAAGTAAATCATGTAATCCAATTTTTCTTGCAATTTCTTTAGCTGTTTGCATAACATTATTATTAATTGTAAATTGTCTGGTAGAGATTCCAAGAACACCTAATAATGAAGTAGCGATAAAAAATATTATTGATTAAATATAAGAGAGATATTAAATATAAGTACTTAACTGTTTTGTGGATTTTCTGGATAACAAACATACCAAATAGAATAATTATTGTAATCAGTAGCAACCAACCATGTAATTCTTATTTCTAAAAATATTTAACCTTAAAGTAGAACGTATTAATCTTAACATATATGCTTACGTCCCAACCATTCAGTAACGAATTTTGATGTGTTATTAACTGGGTACATGTTAAACGAATCTGAGTTACTACAAACAAATAAAATGTATTAATTTTAAAATTTTAAAATAATTTTCGTAGTACTTCTCCCAAATACGTTCTACCATATATGTAGTATTCGATTTGTTAACATCAAGACTCGCTTTATAATAAATACATTTTTTTGAAACTTCTTCCTTGTTTGCCATTTCGTGTAAAATCCAATTACCAACCATCTATTATAAAAAAATGATTTAAAAATGTTTCTGAGAAAAAACGTGATTTATAAACAAACCTTTCGAATATCAAAATCTTTTATTAAGGGAATGTTAACACATTTTTTCTCGTCAATACTTTTGCACGTAACTGTAATTATAACCATGAAAATATAGTAAATAAAAAACATGTTGGCAGTAACGAGCAATCAGCTTGTTTTCTACTGGCGGAATTTTTCAGTGTTTCTTATTTATAAACGAATGTGATAAAAAAATCTCTAAACAATTACTGAACATATATAGTATATGCAGTTTATTCTATATTTATGGTTTTGCTTATTAGTTGTTGATAATGAGCAATGAGCTTGTTTTCTACTGATGGTATATTTCAGTGTTTCTTACTTATAAAGGAATGTGATAAAAAATCTCTAAAAAATATGAGCATGTACTGAAAATATATGCAATTTATTCTATGCTTTTGCTTATTAGTTGTTGATAATGATCTAACAAAAGTAAACAACAACATATTTGTTCGTATTTGATATGATATTTTTAATAATAGCAATCAAATTCATCATGGAATGTTTTAGAAAAGTATAGAATGATCGAAACTGAAGTTTTTGACGTTAAAATATGAGACAAACTTTCGTTAACACATTAACTGCCACAGTCTATTTATATTTTGGATCTCCTGGACCACTACCATAGTTTATCAAAAATTGCCAGTGGCACAATATCTGTACCAAGTCTACAAAAAATTATTTATGGCACATACGTCCAGCCACATGGCAGGCAACCTGTAAAGTTGGAGACGTTGCTCATTGAAAAGTTTTTTTTCAATTTTCACCAATGGCTAGTTCTGAAGGAGGAGGAAGAGATTGTGGCATAGTGTCTCTCAACCTATCAATCTGAATAAACTTCTGTAGAGTGAGTAACTAACCTCGGTGAAAGGTAAGGTCAGGGCAATGGAGTGCAGGAAAAATGATCCTCCGATCCACAAAAAAAAAACACCAATTATAAGACCAACAAATGTGTTTTGGACAGGACGGATTTCTCGGAAACGATTACGGCAGACGGATCCTGTACCAAGCTGGAGCGCTCGCAAACATACTTTATGGAAATGATAAGTACAGACTGGATGTCACGGCTTTGCAAGAATTAAGATGGCCTTGACAACAGGGCAGCATACAATATATTGTCGTGATGGAAGTGGTAATAAATACGAGTTTGGTTGTGGATTCGTGTGGTCAACACGAAAGTACAACGAGTGACGAAATCTACCATTCTTCTCGATACATGCAGAATGAAAAATAGCAGTTTTATGAACTACTAGAAAAGGAATTAGGTAAAGTGCAAGTTAATGATATCAAATTGATAATCGGATATCTCAATGCATAAGTTGGTAGAGAGGAAGAATACCCCTATATAGTTTGCCGATATAGTCTGTACCAAGAAACGAATAACAGTGGAGAGAAGTTAGTATAGTTTGCTGCAAGCTAACAAAGCAGCTGACAAAGCTAAGAAGTACAATACACAACAAATGTATTTGGAAACCTAACTTAATTATAAGCCTAGAGTTAGGAAACAACTACGAAACCTGGAAGTTAAGGAGGAAGAAATGAGGTCAATAGATTCTTGCAGGGCAACCATTAAACAAACGATGCTGTAATATATTGTCGAAGAAGTAGTTGGAACTCTAGAAGGGGTAAAGAGGAACGATTGGAATGGCAAGGAAAGCAAGGTGACTAATGACAAATGAAACAAGGCGCGACAAAAAATGATACAACGACCCAAATCACATTTGCAGGCGGAAAAAGCAACAACTACTAAACACAGCACCAGAATTTTAAGATAAGAAACAGACTTCTAACAGAAATTTCTATGTTACAGTATAAAGAAAACTGGTAACATATACCAGCCTAGGCAGTAATAATAAATAATAATTGCCAAGCCATGTGTAGGATCGTGAAAGATGATATATTGGTAAATACAGATTAGGTGTTGGATAGGTAGAAGCAGTATTTTGAGGGGCTCCTTTGCGAATCTTTTTCCAGCTTGAATGAGGTAAAATACAGCATAAAGATGTAGCGGTATATGATAATCCACCAGAGCTACTGTAGTATGGAGATGAGGAGCTCATGGTGGTCATACATCAACTTATGGTGAAAATCTGGAAGGCTGAGTAGATGCCTACAGATTGCCTACATAAAAATGGGTATAAGCATAACTGACGAAACCACATATAAAGTCCTAACCGATATACTAAGGCTTAGGTATACCAAGGTGGCTTTAGAGGTGGCAGATCCACCACAGATCGTTTTTTTAACGGGCCGATAGATAATTTAAAAAGCATGAGAATTCGATATCATTCTATTTAATATCTTCATAGACTTTACGCAAGTTTATGACACTATTGATTGAGATGCACTATCTATATAGAGTCATGCAGGTGATGCAGAAAATAGGAATTCCTTTTAAATTAGTAAATCTGACACTATGGTGATGACCAACTTGAAGGGTATAATCAAAGTGGAGAGTAGGTACAGCGAATGTATTGATATCAGGGAAGACCTACGATAAGCCGGATGAATTCGCTTCTATATTGTTTAATATACCGCTACAGAAGATCATTTTATAAGTTGTAAATAGATCAGAATAGCAGCACTATGTATAAAGAGACAAAATCAACAGTATACGCAGATGACATCGTCATAACGAGAAGATCCAAACAACGAATGAAGGAGTGCTATGACGAACTGAAGGAGACTGCACATAGTGTAGGGTTACGTATAAGTATATATAAAAACAAAGAGATGGACCTGAAGACAGCACACAGGCTAGCACTAAACAGGACGATTGGGGACGATAAAATTGAAGCAGTTCCAAGTTTTATTTATCTGGAAAGCATAGTAAATGAGACCAATGAGACCGCACAGGACTAAAACATTACTAAAACACTTGGATATGGCTAATAAGCACTGCTTAACTGTTAATCTTACGAAGTCATCGGTGATGGCCTTTGATAACCGGAGAGTCTTGGGTGCGATTACTGACACTTTGAGTGTATGAATTGCTGTGATATTTTGTAAGTTGCTGAGAGGTTGGGTTGGGAATTTTGGTGTTCACATATGCGGTGATCTTCTGCGTCGTGTATTTATAACGTTAACAATGCTTTAGAATAGTAGACACTTATTGGAGGTGAAACTCTGAATACGTTTATGTGATGTCGTGGTTCTCTCAATGTATAATTACGGAGATGTTTTGTACGAACTGTTTATTGACAGTATCCACGGAACAAGAGTACAAAGAGTTCAAAAACAAAATATAAGAAAATCTCTCATACATTAAGGGGGGAAACCACATTAGGAGGCTCACTTTCATTGATTTTTTAGGATTTTTTTGGGGGACAAAAAATAAATAAAAAATAAACAAAATTTGAAAATAATTTGGTTAAAATTCAAACAAACTTTGGGAATTTTTTTGGAAGAATTTAACCAAAAAAAAAAAAAGTAAGCCCCACCGGCAACCGGAACGCCGAACCAAAAGTCCCCAAATGCCGGAACGGGGAGCAATTCAAATTTCAACCGAGAACAAAAAAGTTTTCAATTTAAAATAAAAAACTAATTTCCAAAAAAAAGAAACCCAAAGCAAGGAAAAAAAAACAAAAATAAAAAAGTTGCAAGGGGTGGAAAAAATTAACTAAAAATTCAACGTTTTTTTACTAATTATCCCTGCTAACCTTCTTGTCCCTACCATATGGTCTTAACTAATAAATCTCCCCCATATTTGTTTAAAAAAATTACTTTTAGGACAGACGTTCAAAACATAAATATTAGGCAAAAACATACGCTAACAATACCACAGTATCGCCCAGAGATTTAAAAAAAATCGTTTACGTATTGTGTGCCTAACCTGTTGAATAGTTTTATACTTTCTGCCTTGCTGCAATGAGCAGACTTTTAAGATTACTTAATAACTTAATGATAATAAATGAGCCAGGAACGATGAAGAATGGCTCCTATTTTTATTATTTTCTGCTTTTCTTTTCTATTTTTCTTTCTTTACTTATTCTTATTCTTCCTCTATGGTCTTTTCAAAATTCTTTTTGTTTCTTGTGTTATTCTGACTCTTAATGCCAAAACAGTATTGAAGTAACATCTCGGTCGCAAGCCATCTCGGGTTACATATGTCATAATAACTAAGAATATATTCATTTAGACTCATTTAGTTAATCTATTACAGTACAATAAGAATATTGATAAATCATCCTTCTTGTGCAGTTTGTCGTGTTATGAGATTGTCATGAAATTAAATAACTGAGCCGCAGGAAATATTACGAAATAATGTTGTCTTATACGTGAGTGTAATTTTCTCAGATCCATTTAAGTATCTGAATTACTTAAGAACGGAAATGTGGATGAATAAACTGTTAGGTGGATGAGTGAGCTTTGACTTAAAGTTTGACGATAACCATCATTTGAAAATTTCAATACATGAGCAACGAAGATGTGCTTTGTGAGGTAAAAGACAAAAACAATTTGTATCAAGTATCATTGCAATAAAAATACGGTGGACACCACAAACACTTATGAGCTCCGATTGAAACAATATAATTCGCACAATGACATATGTTTAATCATGAATTAATAAAATATAACAAATTATTTTTGTTTATTATTCTTTCATTGATTACAACTTCAAATCTTGTATTGCTTAAAACAATTTTCATGATTAATATTTTGTAATCTCGGAAGTAAATTATGTAATCCAATTTTTCTTACAAGTTCTTTAGCTTTTTGCATAACATTATTATTAATTGTAAAAAGTCTGGTAGAAATTCCAAAAGCACCTAATAATTAAGCAGCGATTAAAATTATTATTAATTAAATATATAAATACTTAACTGTTTTGTGGATTTTCTGGATAACAAACATACCAAATAGAATAATTATTGTAATCAGTAGCAACCAACCATGTCATTCTTATTTCTAAAAATATTTAACCTTAAAGTAGAACGCATTACTCTGAACATATATACTTACGCCCCAACCATTCAGTAACGAATTTTGATGTGTTATTAACTGGGTACATGTTAAACGATTCTGAGTTACTACAAACAAATAAAGTGTATTAATTTTAAAATTTGAAAATAATTTTCACCGTACTTCTCCCAAATTCGTTTTACTATATATGTAGTATTCCCTTTGTTTGCATCAAGACTCGTTTTGTAATAAATACATTTTTTTAAAACCTCTTCCTCGTCTGCTGCTTCGTGTAAAACCCAATTACCAACCATCTATTACAAAAAGAATGATTTAAAAATGTTTCGGAGAAAAACGCGATTTATAAATAAACCTTTCGAATATCAAAATCTTTTATTAAAGGAATGTTAAGACATTTTGTCTCGTCAATACTGTTGCACGTAACTGGAATTATAATCAAGAAAATACAGTAAATAAAAGACATGTTGCTGGTATCGAGCAATGAGCTTGTTTTCTACTGGTGGAATTTTTCAGTGTTTCTTACTTATAAAGGAATATTATAAAAAAATCTCTAAAAAATTACTACTGAACATATATGCAGTTTATTTTATATTTATGGTTGTTTATGGTTTTGCTTATTAGTTGTTGATAATGATCTAACAAAAGTAAAAAACAACATATTTGTTCGTATTTGATATTTTTAATAATAGCAATCAAATTTGTCATGAAATGTTTTAAAAGTAAAGAATGATCGAAGCTGAAGTCTTTGACGTAAAAATATGAGACAAACTATAAAAGTGCTCATTGAAGAGTTTTTTTTCGATATCTCCATTTGATCTTCACCAATAAAATGCAAATTTTTGAAATTTTATTTTTGTAGTCAACACGAAAGTACAATTGAGGAGAATACCGGGGAAGACAAAGAGTAGTTTTATGAACTGCTAGAAAAGGAATTAGGTAAAGTCCAGGCTAAAGATATCAAATAGATAATCGGAGATCTCAATGCGTAAGTAGATAGAGAGGAAGAGAGGAATATGTCCGCATTGTTGGTCGACATAGTCTGCACCAAGAAACGAATAATAATGGAGAGAAGTTAGTACAGTTTGCTACAAGTAACAATCTACGTGTAAGAAATACTTCATTTCCACACAAAAGCATCCACAAAGAAATGTAAGTGTCACTAGATGAAAGAATAATCAACCATATTGATCATGTTGTAGTGGATAGTAGATCATATTCTAGTATCACAGACATAAGAAGCTGCAGAGGAGCTGCTTCGAACTCTGACCACTATGTTGCCATAATCAAACTACGAGAAAGGATTGGTGAAGCTAAACAGAAAACAACTGACAAAGCTAAGAAATACAATACACAAAAATTGAGGTGAAGAAAATGATATCACTAGATATTGACTGGACAACCGTTAAAATGATGCTGCAAAATATTTCCGAAGAGGTAAAACTCAAGATGGAGTAAAGAGAAATGACTGGTATGACGGGGAAAGCAAGTAGACTATTGACAAAAGAAATAAGGCGCGACAACTTTTATATATAATTTCTTCCTATCACTTTGATAAGACCGGTTGAGTTGGGTTGGCTTGGGTTGGGTTAGAAATATTAGCAGCATTTGACATTTGAAGTTATTAAAGAAAATCTTATCTAAACGAAGGCGACTTGGAAAATTCGATATGATCATGGAGTGGAAGATTTATACAAGAACCTTTATATACTGGATGTTGTGAAACTGGTTAAAATCCGAAGATTTCAGTGGGCTAGACGCATGAAACGAATAGATGAAAGACAGAGTTCCTAAAAGTGTAATCAGGTAAACTGGCCACAAACCAGTCAAGGGGAAGACCTCGAACGCGATGGCAAGATAACATAAAGAGGGATGCTTCGGAGTTGCTTCGAGTAAGGAATTCTTTTAGTCATAAATTGAAGGAGATTAAGGCTCAATCTGGGCTATAACGCCATTGGAAGAAGAAATTTTATTTTTCTAACTTCATACATAACTGAGAAAAGATTTTTTGAACTCGATATTAAAAATAGCAATATGAATAAGTATATTTTTTATGTCAACTTTAAAGATTGATTTCACAAAAACGAGTCGAGATATCGTAAAACGCTTGTCACCCATAAAATTGCTCAAGAATTCTAAATAAATACTCCAAATTTCGCTTTTCCAATCATATATTTTCTTATCATATAACCCAAAAAAATTTGAAATCAACTACATATCGTCTCCTTAATTAGCAAATCTCGTAAGTCCCAAATGACAAAATTTGTAGGAAACAAATAAATGTATCTATCTTTACAGTTTGTTCAACAAGGACAGTTTCTATTCATATGTATAACTGTAAGTAGCTAGTTTATCACATATCAATATTTTTAAAAATCCATACAATACTAAGGTGTTATAATGGAGTTACGAGGTTTTTCCATTAAATCTCAAAGTATCTGGAGATACGAGGTCACAAGATCATTACAAAAAGGTGAAAAAAATAAAAGAAATGGTTTTGTTGATGATCAGTGTTTACTTATTTGAAATTCAACACAAAGATACTTCAAGAAAATATAAAAAAAATATATATTTCTCAGAACTAGCATAAATTTACTTCAAATTAAACATGTAACTAAGCACTCGACAACAAACTGTACTACGAGTAAACTCAAAATGAATTGCGTAAAGCTTACTATGAAAAACAAAATTTTAAAGATGCTGCAAGTTATCATAGAATGCGTGGTAATCAGACAGCATAGTGGTTTTTAATGTCTGGATATGTTAAAACTTTTCTTGTTTAATTTTCAATTTTTCTTGATAGAGTTGTGATATCCCATTAAATGGTATGCCTAAAGGTACCTTTTTGTTACCTCTAATTTGGAGGGGCTGCCAGTCATCAGTGTGTCGAAGCTTAAATTCAAGTGTACCATTTGGGTTATAACGTAGTTCACGCAAGTCAGTTACAGTAGGATCTCCTGATCTTTTTCCTGGCCTAATAGAAGGTATAGGTATAGGTATAGAAGGTATAGGTACTGCATGCTACTAAAATTTCGGAAAAAACTGTACTCTAAATATTTTACTTGAAATGGTTCTGGTCGTTTACGAGCTTTTTGAACATGTGACAAGTAATTTGCAGGCACATTTATAATTTTATTTCGTAGTTGCCGTTCTATGCAAAAGTGCATGGAATCAGCTTCCATTTGTGTGTGGCCACGCTCTAAATATTTCTGGACAACACGCACTTTGTGATGGACGACAAAATTAAGTAAGGTACTGGGCAGAATTGCATTGCGGTTTTGGCCAGTACAGCCATCGCTGAAAAAAATTAGTTCTTGTCCAGATTGAAGATGTGGCAGTTGGGTTTCTGCACAGTAGCAAATTATTGTAGAAAATTCATTTGCATCCACCGTTCCTTCTATTTCGCTCCATAAGAAGCAATATCCAGCATGTGTTTTAATATCGAAAATAGTGAAGTTGTATAGAGCTAACTTTGTTTTATAATACAAGCTGGAGACGTTTCATTTTGGGCACAAAAGAACTGCCTGCAAGTCCATAGTATACACTTTGTTGCTCTCACTGTTTTTATCCTGCTCCTTCTCCTCTCTGGCTTCTTTTTTCTGTTCTTGAATGCTTTGTGTATTCTTCTTCTAAAATATTATTCGCATTTTTAGCCACACATAAGTCACATTCGTCCTTCTTTCATTGAAATGGACCAAAATTCAGGTCGTTGAAATAGTGGTCAAAATAAGTAATAGAAAATGGCTCGACGTTCCTTTGATGACACCAATCTTTACTGTAGAGTGGTTCAAGATATAATTTCTTAAATGTTGATTTGCAATAATGCGACTCCATCTTTGACAGAGTATCAAAAAATAGTTTAAGGGAATCTATTCTTGTAACATCCAATCTTCTCATTTTCTTTTGGCTTGGGTTCTAATTTTTCCGGTTTGTCTCAGTTTCTATAGCTTCGTTATCATCAGCCGTAGTGTGTAAACCAAGTTCTGTTTCATCTTCTGTCTTTTCACGTTCCGGGAACGTGCTGTCCATTCTCCTATTCTCCTATTTTTTCAATTAAGAAACATTCTTTTGCATACCTTGAGTGGTTCATTGTTTTTTCGTAAATACTAACTCTTCTTTTCGATCTCTGTATCGTTGAGTTTCACCCAATTTCATATTCAGCTGCACAAAAAGTTTCTTTTCTTTCCAACTCAATTTCCAAAAACTGTCGAATTCTGATTTTCTATCCTCCTCAGAAAATAAGTAACATTTTAAAGTAGGCTTTTTTGCTGAACCTAGGTTTTTGCTAGATATTTTGCACGGACACGTCTCTTTCAGAACTCGCTGTTGCTTTGGAATGTTGTATTCCCAATTCCCATCAACTATCTTTTTTCCTTTATACGAGTCGAGTAGCTTTCTTCTTCTTTTATTCTGCTCCCTGTTCTAGTTGCCTTTTTTAACGTGTCTTCTTTTCAGTCTTTTTCTTCTCAAAGGCTCTCCGTTTTCCGCATTTTCTTCTTCGCTATTCAAGTCTTCAGTAGGTCGATAATCTGGATCTTCGGCTGTTGATGTTTTAGTAATATTTTGATCCACACTGCATTTCACAATTTCATCCTTAGAAATATCTTCCGATGAGTTAGGCTTCGAGTCTTTTTCTTTGCAACTTTGAACAACAGTAGGTTGATAATCTGTGTCTTCAGTTTGTGACGCCTCATTGGCATTTTTCTCAGTAACTTCTATGTTTTCGCCTTTCAAAGTATCTTCAAATAAGAAGTATACACCATCTACGAAAATAAGACAAAACCGTAACAGTTGGCACTTTACAAAAGTAAGTAAATTAAATAAAACACAAACATTTACTTCAAAAGTTACTTAAAACAATATAAATGTACATTATGTTGTTAGAAGCGATGCAAATTAGGGCTCACGATTGACTTCGACAACGGCTAATTTAACATTACAACTCCTCAATAACCTCAATTTTAGGTTTGGAGACACGAGGTTTTCCCTTGGCACAAAACGTTACGGAGTTACGAGGTTTCTTTTTAACGCTATACCGACTAAATAAACTAAATAACATGGAATTGACATATATGGCGTAAATATCTAAAATTATGATAAAAATGGAGTTACTTTTTATATATTACATAAAAAGTGTCAACATGAATTGGTATTTTTTTATTATTTATATTAATTTGTAGGTTCTTTCTATTTATTAAAAGTAATATAATTGGATATATTACTTCTTTATTATTTTCTCAACATCATCTTCCAATTTTATCTATAAAAAGCGAAAGTGTTAAAAAGATTTTTAAAACAAAAAAATTTTGTTTTATTTATGACATTGATGTTTTAAATAAAACTAATCAATATTCATAAATTCATAAACGAATTATTTGAAAATAAAATAAATAAAGCAATACAACAAATCCATTATTAATTTAAAAAAAAATGGAGAGTGAACGTGAACATGAAGGGTACAGAAGAGGTTATTATAGCGAAGCTATAACAGATTTAAATACAACCCTTAAAGGGGTTACACAAGGTGGAGCTTTTAAAAAAACGAAACTCTTGTGGCAAGTTCGTACGGAACATCATGCCCCGATTATCCGAAGTCTTCACCCACCGAAAAAACGCAACTTTTTAGCCCCAGCTGAAAGATGGATGTGTTACGAAGAGGAAAGATCACTTGTAATTATTTCTTTAAATCCAGTCAATTATAAAATACGTTATGATTCTTATTAATAAAATATATTTTAAAATAGTGCTTTCCGGTGGATACATTCGAACCAAAAGTACAAATGCAGCATGAAATAATTCCATTTCTTCTTCCACGAAATGTGGCAATCGAAAGAAAAAGAAGGCAATATCAAGAGAGAACAATAAGAGAGTGTTTATCAAATTTAAATGTAAATTTAAGAAAATTAATTCCTTATAACGTTTTATGGGCTGCTGAAACTGTGGAAGGAAAATATGGTTTATATCCAAAAGTAAATTATTTGCCATTAGAGCTTTTCGATAATGAAGAATATGATGCTAGGTAAATTAAAATGTTTTTAAAAAGAAAATTTTAATGATAATTTTTTTCTTTTATTAAGAACTCCTCAAGGTTGGTTAGATCATGGTCTTCTCGATGGTTTTCGACATCCCCTTCCCGGCGAAGCTTTCATACCAGAAGATATTGATCCGGATGAAAATATACCCGAAAAGGAACGGCATTTAATGTACGATTGGACAAACGTTGCCGTACTGGATTATATTCGTGATAAAAAACTTTGGAGTATTTTAACATTAGATGGGAAACAAAGACCGTTTCAAGTACCCCGGATTTACTTAATGTTTAAAGCCGAGGATCCGGAAATATTCGCTAAACGACTAAAAAGCGCCATCGATTTGAGGGATTATACGGAAGGTGTTATTCGTTACGAATTTTATGTGGATAGTATTTGTTCGACTGGCACCTATGATATTGATGATAATACGTGGGACAAAATTTATAATTCAGCCACAAGAGGAAAACAAATTTTTAAATCTGATTATGTAATTGAAGTAAGTAATAGTTATTTTTTTCTCAATTTGATTTTCTATTTTAAACAAAATTTGTTATGCATGAAACGTAATCATATTCTTTACAAACTTATCTGCGTCTTGTGATCAAATTCAGTGGCATATCTTAATTAATTACACTTAATTAATTGTGGAAAGGCCTTTACGGGCATTAACACTTTTCTGAGTTTCTCACTCTGAATCGATTTATATCTTCCTTGAGTGATTTCAGGATTTCAGAGGGACGTCGAGCAGAATCTCTTCGTTGTAGACGTAATACGACGTAACAACAACAAAAACTTTGCCGTATCATTCGAGCTAGGAATCATCGGAATGTTCTTGATTTAAAGAAAGTTTAAATCAACAAAGTTTTTTACATATTTTTGTAAGGTTTATTGATGTACTACTTTTACATATTCGACAGACCCATCACACAGAACCTTAACCGATTTAGGGGCTAAAACCATGGTAAGTGTGGTCCAGTTGGTGTCATCGATAAAACATTACTATTTAACCCATCATATCTGCAGATGAATTCATTGTTTTAAAAAATCCTCTGGCACGTCTGGACCGAGGGTTACTGAATGCAATGTTCAAAGCAGGTAACATATTTGTTTTGGCATCAAAGTCTGGTAAACTAACTTCTGCCCATATGAAAAATACTACTAAATGTGTATTTTGTAAGTAAATTATTCGTATTTGTTCATTTCCGGTACGTCATATGGGTTTCAAATAGGTTTCTTGGTGATTAGTTTCCTTTTACTTTCCATTAGGTCTTCTTTAGAATGCTATAATACATCTGAAGCAGGCCATTTCCATTTAAAACTTCTGCTCTTCATCATAACTTACTATCAAACCACACTCCAAGACTTTTTATCATTGAGATACCTGACAGGTCCACTCCAAGCACATAATCATAAAGTGTGATGTTACGTTTCTGACTGTATGTCATTACCTAGCATTTGGAAGTATTTAAGGTTAATTTGCTCAAAACACCACAAATAAAGTCTGTCTAAATCTCATTGGAGTGATTCAAAATGCTGTCTCTCAAAAATAGAACACAACAAAGAACAACAAAGGACACAAATTTCACTCCAACGGGGTTCGTCGTGGAGACTTTAAATATAGACGCACAAACATCTTGGGCCACGGCCGGGAGCAAAAAAAGGAGAGTCGAAGTAAAAGCAAGGAAAGGTAACCAGTTTCGATAAATTGAAGAGTTTAAAAGTATAAATCATTTAAATAGATGTTGAACAGCAAAGGGCCAAGTATGGATCCCTGGGGACGCCTCTAGTAACATTGTCTGCGATGAGATACATAAGATACCAGAAATCGTGTGAGAAAGTGATCACATCCAAACCTCTCTAACTTTTCAACCAACAAACCATGGTCCAAGTTATCAAAAGCCCTTGAAAAGTCAGTATATATCACATCTACATAGAAGATACATGCTTTCAAAATAATCGGCGAACATATCAACTACTGTTGGTAGATCAGAAAAAAATTCACCATCGCGTTTGAGAATATTTGGTGAGACAGCACTGTTTCTGGCCATGTTAACAAATCTCCAAAAACTCTTTGGGTCTTCTTTCATGTTCTGTTCCAAGGACCTTACATATTTCTGGCGATCCTTTCGCATATTGTTTTACAGTCCCAGCGGAGACGAACATACCTTGCTCTATAAAAAGAGTAATTGATTCGTTTAGATAGTTTGTGGTAGTATTTTTTTAGTTTAAGCATTTGCTTTAGATTAGTGTAGTACCATAAAGGATATTTAGACTTTATGTGTTTTCCGATGGGTTTTTGGCACATACTCAGGACACTATATAATGTTGTATAGAAAACATCACAGGATAATTCAACTGATGATAAAGACAGCAGTCAATACTCAGAATTGCATTGTATAAGTCGGGCAGGTTAGCTCTTTTGAAGCAATACTGGGTTTGTCGGTATATATTTTGGACCGTAAGGAACTGAGGTGCAGATCTATTTAGAGTTTCCAACAATGCTGGATGATAATTGCCTTCGCGAACCAAAGCAAAATCGGAGTGTATCACATTAAGATTTATGGGTAAAGAAGCAAACATCAGATCGAGTGTTCTATCTATGATATTACCCACATTATTTGAATTTCATTTGACGTTATTTGATTGTTGAAACTAAGAAAGTTAGCAGCTCATTCATCGTTCATGACAGCAAGTGATGGAATATTAAAATCGCCCAGGATCAAGGTATTCAATGACATATCCAGTGACGAATCAACATGATCAAAAGTACGATAGCACATTTCTCCAGGTGTAGCCGGCGGAAACAACAACATTCAGAACATATTTCGACTTTTTAAATTCAATTCTTGCAGCTCAGCAGGTCAACACAACTTTTGAGACTGCAATATCAGAGTCAATGGCCAATAATATTTCGCCACCCCTACGGTGAGGTCGATCGCATCTAAAAACGTCGTATCTATTCGGGAAAATCTCGTGATCAACAACTGTTTCTTTGAGCCATGTCCCACTAAGCGCAATGATGTCGAAATCTGAATCGATATGAAAATGTCGTTAATTTTTGTGTTTAAACCACTAGTATTCTGGTAATATAGTATAATGCATACTATGTCCGTTGGGAGACAGTTAGTATTTTTTGCTGACAATTCGAGGATACCATTAAGGAATTGTAAACGCAAGTCTCAAAACTCCTGTTGTCGCGGAGTTCGGTCACCATTAATATAAACATTTTTGAAATTGACAATCTCGCAACACCTTATCTCGTCTTAAAATCATTCCTGCTTCCGACTTATTCTCAAATACTACTTTAACAAGTCTAGGTCGCTTTTCTGTAGATAAGAGCTTTCCCAATCTAAAAACTTTCACAATATTTGGAGATGTCTGAACAACATCCTTAAGTATGGCTTGAAGATTATCACATTCTACGGCCTCCGCTTATGGTCATTAATTACCTTGTCAATATGTTCTTTTTAGATGACAACTTTATACGTTATTCATCTCGCGATTCTTTCATTTCCAGGGGGTTATCGCAATTTGCACAAGCATCGCAAGTCATTATTGCAAATGAAACATAATAATACATATTCGCCGTCCCTGCATTTAATGTTACAACTCTCACAACTAACTGGCATGATTATGTTTTAACTCAAGATGCGGGGTAAATTTAAGGGAAAAAAACCAAGTTTTTACAAAGGAAAAATTGAAAACGAAAAAAAGAGCAAAGGAAAATAAAGTTTAGATTAAAAATAACAAAGGACACAAATTGGACTCCGACGGGGTCCGTCGTGGAGACTTTAAATATAGACGCACAAACAAGTTGGGCCACGGCCGGGAGCAACAAAAGGAGAATCGAAGTAAAAGCAATTGCATCTATTAAATAGACCGTTAAATCATATATTATATATTGATTCGATATGTAATTTAATAGAAATGGACCTTTTCAATACCTTACAGATGCAAATTATCAGTCGGTATGCCGCAGAAACGTTTATAAAGAACAGATGAAAACACGGAGCACCACAAATCACGTGTACACCACTCGACGTGCTTTAGACATTCTATTCATGAGAAATGATTATATTAACGATAAAAACGGCTTAATCCGAAGTGTCTTGCAGTGTACTCCTGCCCCGACCCCTTCCGGCGTTTTTGATCCATCTGTGAACATGCAAATATCTGCCTGTACCAGTGAATTTTCGTTTTCGATCCAGGACTGCCATCAGGCAGTACAATCTGGTATCGAGCATTAATCACTGATAGTGATCCCGTCAAATCTGACAACATTGATAGCATAATATCAGTGCTTAGGAACAGTTTTGAGCAAATTGCTTAAATCTGTAAATGGTAGTTGTAGCAACTTTCTCTATATGCACATACAAAAGAGATAGGCTGATAAGTTTACTGATAACTGAAGTCTGTCGGACTTTCCTATACCAGGCTGCCGTTCCGTATGTGATCATAGGTCTAACTAAAGTCACATAGAGCCAGTACAGTCTTTAAGTGGTAATTTTTTCCACAAAGACTACGACAAGTCCACAAGGAGTTTAGCTTTGTATAAAACTCAATGAAAATGTCTATTCCATAAGAGGATTTTATCTAGGATTACAAAGTTTAAACATGTTTGAAAATTCACTATTTATAGATATAGGCTGATAGTTGCTAATCAAGTGAGCGACTCCTTAAAGACTGACTAGAGTGATTTTACTATTTTTGAGACAAGTAGGAAATATTCCACTAAGAACACTAAAATTAAAAAGTTCCGGCAAAGGGCTTATAATCTTGTGACGCACAGCCTTCGCAGCTCTTACACACACCTTATCATGACCAACGCTA